ACTGTGAGTACTGCGCATTGCATATGAGGTCAGGCCCTTGACTCCCGAGGAGAAGGCACAGATCGAGGTGCCCTAGCTGGCAAGTGGACTGCAACAGTTGAGGCATCAAATTGTAGATAGTCCAAACACCATCCTAGCCACAACTTCTCCTGTGTGCCCAGGCTCTGCAACATCCCAGTGAGATCCCGCTGGCGCAGCGTAAGGCCTTGAATGAGAAACTCAGGCGGAGGATGACTAGTGGCGCAGGCCGGTTATCCCGATACCCCAAAACCCCTCAAACCCTAAATCCTACCTTATAAGCACCGCTAACTCGAGGATTGAGTTAGTTCCAGGTTCTAGATCAATGATTCCTTGTGATCTGCAGGACTTCGGAAGGGGCTAGTGGCTCAATGGGCAGCAACACCGCCGGGATCTTTGGCGCGGTGGCTTCCCTGCAATTACAACAATACACCACTAAAAGCTTGAAGAACCCATACCCCTGTATTGAGTCCCCCAACCGGAAAGACGACAGCTTAGACCAAGGTTTGCCTTTCTAAAGGCTTTCCTGCTGGACAAGGATCAGTTGGCCACCATCACGGTGTCGCCGTACTTCGAGGAGTGCCTCGACTCACTTATCATGCTGCAAACATATCGATGTGCTAGCTAGTTTCAATACAGACTCGAATCTTGGATTGAGGCTTTCGGAAAACAAAGAAAAGGAGACCTTTGAAGAGTTGCCATTGGCGCTCATCAAAGAAAAGTACGAGCACTTACCTGGGGGACCAAAGCTGATCGCCGACATTCTCGCGAGTCTTTGCCTCAACTCTGTATAGTAATGAGTTGGTTTATTGCTTCGATCTGCTATATAAGGTCAGGGCGATGGCAAAAAACATCCTCAAAGCGACGAGAAAGACATGAGGATTTATAAAATCTTCAAGAATGTGGCTACAAGCAGCGCCTTGTCGAGATCAAGACCACCGTGTGTTTGCATGCTGTTTTGTATGGTTTTCAATCATGTACACTCAGGCGCCAACATCCACAGAGTGGGCAGCAAAACAACAGGAACAAAGACAGCGTCGACGAACAAGGCGGAGCGCACCGCCATTGCGGAGGCGATCGAGGGAAAGGTTGCCGACATGACAAAGATGATAACGGGCTCGGCAAGCGGTGCCAAAGGCAAAGGCCGTGGAAACGGAAAGAGTAAGGGGAAGAAGGTCCATCGGGGGATTAGGTTGCCAACTATTTTACCGAGGTTTAATCATAGGCGGTGGTTTAGACTACCCTCTTCCAGGAACTGACCGCGGAGGAGGCTGAAGCCAAGGCCTTTCAGAAAGACTTGCAGTCGTTGCCCGGCTTCCCTATATACCTGCAACCCCTTAACCCGATACGACTGTACGTGACAATAACCACCTCGCAGTAACTCAGGATACGGGATTTGAGTGACAAATCGATTACCGTGGCTGCTGGACTAGCCCATTGCGGACTGGAGAACCAGGAATCCATGATCACTCAGCTTGGCAAAATTTCTTGTGATTGCTCTCGAATCCGCGACGAGTGCTTTGTTTGCACATGCAGGTTG